CAACGCCCGCCACAACAACACCGCCTTGCTAGGTGGGCTCCCACCTGGGAGCGCCATAAAGGCAGATTAAGCAGGAGCCATTCAGCCTGACTCTTAGTCCACAGTAGGCCACTCCACACAACAAGACACACACTGGGCTGACTGCGGTGTCCAAGTTATTCCGTCAGTTGGCAACCCTCCAAGCCACGCTTTTAGCGCACCACGGTAGTTTATACTGAGGAAAGAAATGCGCTTAGGGTCAATTTTTACTCTCTCGCAACCGCCAGCAACAGGCCACTGCCTAGTTGATCGGTCGCCTGAGGTGCAGCTAAGTACAGACAACTGCGCACTCGACGGTACATCTTAGGCCACCAACTTATCGATCGGAACCTGCTGTTGGTACATAAATTTCGTCACTTTAGCCAAATATGCGATTATATCTTTCAAACGATGAAAACGTTAACATCTGTTGTACTGATATGTCTGGTAGCTCAGGTGCTGAGCTACGAATATGACCGCGGCTACGGTAGGGACGGTTACCGCTTGAGAGAAGGATACGAACACGGAGAGAACCCATGGCTGTCGCCAAAGCAGGAATTTTCTGTCATTCCGGAGAGGAGGGAAAAGGACCAGTATTATAGGTTGCCAGCCGATGTTCACAATACCCCACGTCATGGCGGCTATCTTTACGGACTAAGGGGCAAAAACTACAAGCCTGATCTAAGCTAACAGTGTTTTCGCGTGTGGCTTGGCGCCAAACTGTTTTATTCAATGCACAAGGACTAAACAGTTCTGGATGGCCTTATATTGTGCAAAAATATATCACTGCCTATTTAAGCTTATCTATATGAATAAACTTCTTCCGCATGATTGATATAGTTGTGTTACTAGAGGACATCAACTGCATCGAAATTTTGCTTTTCCTGACATTCCCATCTATGTGAGATCCAGATCGTTTTTAACGAAAAGCAGATCGTGTGTTGCGCGTGTAGACGGGCGGGCTACCTTTTTCGCCCCTGCACCCGTGGTCTTCTTCGTAGTAGCAGTAGTAGAGCGATCAAAGATCGCAATACGAGACAGATTCGTTTCGTTGAGCCTTAATTCTCACTCTCGAGGCCCGCCAAAAGCCACTCAGTAGCTGGTAGAAAAGAAAAATCACAAGAAGAATGGCCATTTATAGCTTATTAGCCGTAATTAACCAGTCCTACCCAACTGCCGGCTTTGCAATCTCTAAAGCTCGAAGCCACG